TGAAATTGCTACTGCTACTTGAAACTGACATTGTGAAGTTTTGCGCAGAATTTTAAAAAAAAAATTAAAAAATCTGCACAGACCTACATTTTGTTACAGATCTGTGCAGATTTTTTAATTTTTTTTTCTTTACTAATTGTCACCAGATTCGAAGTTTTGCGTAGATTTTGGATCTGAAGATCTGCGTAAAACTGTGCCCTTAAAAATTTTCTGATGTTATTAGATATCACTGACTATTAAAAATATATAACATTTAACTACTGAAAGTGCTTATAAAATAGCTATTTTTAATATTTCTCATTTATCTATAATAATAAATATTATTTTAGCATCTTGTACTAGCTTCACTAATATTTCTTATTAATATATAATAATAAATATTATTTTTTATTATTCTAAAATATTGATGGAAAATCAAACTATAAATACCCCATATCTAAAAACTTATTATCATCGAGATTCTATATTTCTAACTTCTGAACAAATAGAAATAATTAGAATACTCAAAGATAAGATACCTAAATATAAACTAATAGGAGATTTCAATATTAATGAGCATAGGGTTAATGATATATAAAAAAATTGTGAATATAAATAACAAATAATATACTCTTGATTAACTTGAGCACAAAGTACTATTTCTTTTGATATATTACCTGAAAATTCCAATCAAATTGATACTACCATATCAGCTTATGCCAAAAGAGAGATTTTATATCTAGAATCTACTACTTTCTCTGATAAAAAAATAAAAAAGAGAAGTTCTAAATCTCAGTCTAAATCTGCTCACATATCTGATCTAATATCTAGCAGTAGCTTAATATTAGTTAATAATAAAAATCCAATAGAAAAAATAAGTGGGGGCTCTAGGAATGATGATATTCCTATTAATATAATTAATCAGATTGAACGAGAAAATAAAAGAAAAGATAAAAACTTAGCTAATAGTACTCACATAAAATCTACTATCTAATCTATATTTTCTTTATCTGTAACAGACTCAATAATATTTCCATATTTTATTTATAAAATCTCATTATAATCATTAAGTTTGGTAATGAATTTGAATACATTGTATAGACTTTTCTCATATCTCTCATAATTTATACATTTTTTTTTAAAGTCAGATTATCAGAATCTAGAAACAGAGTCTTATTACTTTGTAATAAGCTAAAATCTGCAGGAGCACATCACTTATCAAATGGTATATTGTCATTCTTATCACTATCTGTCTCCTGAGAAATTTGATTAGATACCAGAGGCTTATCATCCTGAGATATGATTGTGCAGTTCATTTCGAGCTTGTTTTTGATCTTATATATAGTTACAGGAATAATAAACTCTTTATCATTATAGTGAATCTTCATTTTATTATTACCCCAGTTCACAGCACATTTATATTTCTTGAGAAATGGATTCGGAAATATTAATATTAATTTAGGAACTCATATAACTATAAAATCTTCATGTATAGTAAAACCTGAAGAGAATATTATTAGTAAATTACGAGTCACACTAATAGATTTTGTTGAAATAATAACAATACCACTAAGATTATATTTTTCTGATTTATCTATTTTCCCATCTATATATTTAACAATATCTTCTAATACAATTGCAGGTTTGGCCCCACTATCAAGTACCAATGCTAAAATTTTTAAGCATTTGATTTTAACTGATATAGTTGTAATACTTATTATCAGTTTTTTCTTTTTAACAAAGTCTATTTCTATAGGATCATCTAAAGTTTCTTCCTCCTTTGAATTCAGTATTACTGAAACTGGATTGCGATAATTCATAAAATCAGATTTTTTTATAGATAAGGGTGTATGACTCAAAGAGTCACCCTTAAAGGGCCTGGATGGATTTTCAATCTTGACTTTGAGTTTCTCTATCCAATCTACTGGTATGATACCATCAAGCATATCTAGTATAATTCTCTGAAGAGACTTATTAATAACAGTCAATTTATTTTGAAACTTACCAGTAATGGAAGTCTCCTTCTGTTTTGTCTTGTGAGATTTGGATTCCTTCTTGATCTTGAGTTTCTTAGGCTTTACTTTTTTTTTTGCTTTAACAGCATTAACAGCATTGATAATTTTCATAATTTCAGTCTCAATTAAATTATTCTTAATATCAGATTTCAATTTAGAATCAGAATTAGATTCCGATTTAGAGTTAGAGCCAGAATCTGAATTGTTATCAGAAGAATTAGTATCCAATTCAGAACTTGAATCTACAGTAGTGATATTAACCTTACCTTTCTTTTTAGATTTACTTTTGCCAGAGGTAATTGTAGAGTGACTAGACTTACTCTTCTTTTTATAAGGACACTTGTGAGAATTATATCCAATTCTATTATAATTTAAGCATCTATGTTGAGATAATTTTAGAACAGTATTTACTATTTAAGCTAATTTTGCCTGGTTAATTCCCATCTGCTCAAATTATAATTTCAAATCTTCAATCGGGTCATAGTCATAATCTTCTCCAGGTAAACTTGTATTATTTATAAACTCATCTAAAAAACAGTTCATAACAAGATTATCTGCTTTTTGTTTTCTGGAACTGGAAGATTTCTTCAAAGTTTGCTGTCTTTTAGCAATAGTTCTCTTCAAACCAGCTATAATTTTTTTGAAATCATTTTATGAAAGCATGATTTGATTAGACTGTTCTTCCTGAGGTTTAGAAGAGATAGATTGTGTAAAAACTATAATAGATTTTACAAAGCTTTCCATTTCATCTTTACTTATATTTGTATTACTTGAGTAATTATTCTTTCCACGGGCTTTAGTTATTGATATCAAATCTAAAATTGGATGTAAATATGTTTCAGATAATTACTCGATCTTATATCTTTCAATTTTTTTGAGTTCTGTAAGTAATTCAGATATAGGCCTATTAATTCCAATATGTTGAATTTCTAATTAATTATTAGAGGAGATACCATGAAGAAACTGTAATCAAATTTGTTGTTCATCAATACCAGCAAGTCTAGTAAGTTTACGTAACTTGGAATAGAAATGACCAACAGGATCACTATCTTGAACTGCTGATCTAAAGATCATTCATTATTTCTCAGCTGTAACTGTTAGATAGTTAGTCTTGAGCCAGTATATTGCCTGACCAAGTCAAATTTCATCTGCAACTACAGATTGACCAATATTAGCATTTGGTAGATTTATTATATAATTAGTTGGATAACTATCGGCAAAAGTCCAGTCTTGATCAAATACTGTATGGGCTGGGATAAGAATATTTTCAGTCTAACCTACAGCATCATATCTTGCATTTGCACCAATTTATACTGCCATTCATCCTTGAACAAGAGCTAAAGTAGTCTGTACAGTATTATCAAGTAAATTTCTCAATTCCCAGTTTTTCCTTCAAAGGGATCTTTCATACCAATCCTTAGTATCATCTTTGAGATATATTTCAAAAAGACCATATGTTCAAACTCTATCAGCATGTTCAGCATTCACATCAATTCTAGCAGCCATGAGATATGCTCTCCAAGAGTCAATAAATTTCTCTGGATCTTTATCAGGATATTCATGAAAATTTGGGGATGCGTATCTTGCCATTCCTGTATGTTGATTATTTATAGGTGGATTATTCTGAAGCACAAATATTTGCTGATTCAAATTCAAAATTAATTGCTGTGAGTTGCGCTCCCTATTTTTCCACTTGATATGACTTGTCTTTCAGTTCTTAAATTTGTTGTAATATCTATCAAAGAGCTGATCTTGATTATATTCTAATAATCCTTTATTAGCCTGGCATTTCTGCAACTCCTGTTCTAACTAATGAATAGATATCTTATAACGAATTTCAAGGATGCATCATTTTAGTTTATACTACTCTTCCCATGCTAAACTTACATTATATCACAAATGTTCTTGCATATCATATTTTTGCTGTAATTCTCTTCCATATGTCTGACACTATCAAATTTTAAATTTAAGTGCAAACTTATCAAGCAATAAAGTATCTATACATTTTTGCATCCCATTTTCTAATTTCTGAGCAATCCCTCACTAGCGATAACATTCTCCCTGTTCATTATTATAAGCTATAGTCATTAAAATAAGATCATTCTGAGAATTGTCATGCTCTAATGTAAGCTGATTAACTTGATCTTGTAAAGTGGTATTTTGCTGTCTATAGCCATTAACCTCCTGCTCCACAAAGTGAAGATCGGGTAAATGAGAATGAAATTCAATCAGAACATAATTTAAATGAGTCTAATTATGAAGAAATGTTGATCAATTAACTATTGTCATAGAACTAAAATATAGATTTTAAATACTAATAAATGTTCGTACAAGAGAGTAATCTCATGTGATCACTTTGCATCGATATCAGCGGAGCTGGTACGGCCAAAACATAATCTATTACTTATCCAACCATACTTCAATCTGTGGCTCTTAATTTATTATTGTTATAAGCGGGTACATCACGTTATGATAGGAGGTTACACGACAGGTTGAAGTTTCTCACATACATAAATTGCCTCATGCCTGACTAAAACTCAGTTATTTTCTAAAATGAGCTATACGGAAAAATTTCCTGGCTACACGGGCAAGTATCGTAATAAAGGTTAGAAAAGAGCTTTCAGGTATTAATCATTGTTCCACTTGTTCTACTTTTAGCTCTTATGGACTATTTGAACGAGCGCGACCCAAGTCTTTGGTCATACGTAGATTTTTTAACTACAAATCGTACCGTTATTGTAAATTCACTACCGCATTTGGTTGATCATAAAGGCCTTGATGGCGCGTGGACCAAACGATTCATACTATCTATAAAAGGTTTGAGTTCAGACTTAGTTGGTGACATGGAAAGGAAGGTATTTTTTTCGTTTAATTTGACGGAAAGGAATTTCCTTGACAGGTATTACCTGCGCTTGGATAACCAGAAATTTTCTGATCCGAGTGATGGTGTGAGGCAACTCCTTGACAGGTATTACCTGCGCTTGGAGCATCAGAAATTTTCTGGTCCCACCATTGCGAACCGTCCTGTTTTGTTTTATTTTGGTTTGTTGAGGTGACGGAATGATGACAATGAATCTCAATCATCTACTTTATTTACTCTATTTTGACAAGATGAACCTGGAGCGTACCAAGAGTGACTTGGATTCTTTTTGGCAAGAGGTGATCATTGAGCGATTACAGGTAAGGATATCATAGAGAATTTTTTTTAATCTCATTTATGCATTTTTCCTGAAAGGAATCTTATATACATGTAAATTATCATAATAGCGCAAAGTCCAAAGCACCTACGATAAGGAAACCCTTCTTACGTTTGATGAGTCAGGTAAACATTATGGAGAGCAACTGCGCATACCTTACAAAAAAGAAGAGGGCAAGGAGGAGGAAACATCTTCGGGTTGTAAACGTTCCAATAGCACTTTAGATTCAGATTCAACTTCCCCTGTGGAGACAAAGAAGGTTAGCATTGAATGTTTTGCAAATAATCCCGCAAAAACGTCTTCTCACCTTTTTTATATTTCTGATGTGCACAGATCAGACCCGGTAAAGATGTGAATGTTGAGGAAGCTAACAATGATGATGTTGTAAAAATGACTTCGATTGCGTATCAGCAATTTACGGATAAATATCGAAAAATTAAAGAAGAAGATAAATGGACTTTGTCAACTGAAAAAATTGTTGAAGATGCATTATATGCATTTGGAATGAAGTGCTCACATGAACAGTAAGCATTTACTCGTTGCTTTTATGTATTTTTTTCTGCAATTTAATGATGATTTTGTTTTTTTTTACTCTATGAAAGTCTCTGTCATTCTTTTTTAATCGACCCGGATGACAAGAACTATATACAACAAGGCATCTTCACGCCTGAGGAATTAAAAGAAATTCAAAATTTTAGTAAGAAAAAATTGCCATCAATGCCGGATGATCTTTTGAAGTATCTTAATAGTTTCCGAAAGGTGAGTATTTCTTCATAAACGTTCTTCACACACATTATGTAACTTACTTAGACAATGTATTAAATAGTCCAATACTTCTGACCTGCGAGAATTGATCTTTCGCTCT